ATACAAAGTTATTAAAAATAAAATGTGGTGTCCCCCAGGGATCTATTCTTGCACCTTTATTATTTCTTATCTACATTAACGATCTCCCTAAAGTCTCTACAAATCTCGATTGTATAATATTTGCAGATGATACTAATGTGTTTTACTCATCTACCTCTATCAATGACCTTTTTGATAAAGTCAACATTGAGCTTCAAAAACCTAAAACATGGTTCAGTGCTAACATGTTATCATTAAACGCCCAAAAAACTAAATATATTTTATTTCACTCAAAGAAACAGAAAAATAAACTACCATCAAATCTACCTTCACTAAGTATCGAACACAAAAAAATTGAAAGAACCCAAACAATTAAATTTCTTGGTGTGATTATTGACAAAAATGTTTCATGGACAGCCCATATAAATGCCATCAACACTAAAATATGTAAAAGTATTGGTATACTTTTTAAAGCTAGACCATTTTTATCGCAAATAAACCTAAAACTTCTTTATTTTTCCTTTATACATAGTTATTTCACGTATGCCAACATCGCTTGGGAAAGCACACACAAGACAAAGTTAATGTCCCTATATCGACGACAAAAACATGCCTCCAGAATAATACATCATAAGAACAAACTGACCCACGCTAAACCCCTATTAAATGAAATGAAAGCGCTAAACATTTACCAAATTAATATCTATGCTAATATATTGTTCATGCTAAAATGCAAATTAGGATTAGTTCCAAACCAATTCACAGAAAATTTCTTTCAATCTAATCTCAACAAATCTAACTCGAGATCAACTGGTAACTTTATTGTACCCCGGAAAAGACAAAAAAACCCTCAATTCTCTATTTCTTAACGCGGCCCTTATTTATATAACAAACTAATTCCGAATTGTAACTCAATTTCTCTTGCTGACAATATAACTTTTTAAAGTACAAACTAAAAAATCATGTTCTCAATACAGATAATTACTTAGAAATATTTTAATTCCAACGATAAATTAATATTTACGCTCACATTCAAATAATCAGCAATCAATTACAAATGAAAATGAACTTTTTTTTTTAATTAAAAAATAAAGATAATATTATTATTATATACCACAACACTAACACCATACATAATATAATAAAAAGAAAAGAAAAGTCTACCTCAATGACATTTAAAATATTTGTTTTATGAGAATCATAATGTGTACTTTACGCAACACCCCAAGGTTCTCGATGATAAGACTAAACTCAGTCTTCTACGAGTTCCCTACAAAAGTCAAAACCCTTTTCAAGTCATAGCATATTTAATTATTGCTTCCTATGTTTATATTAACGGTATTTTGTAAAATATTAATTTTTTTGTATTGGAAGTTTATTTTGTTTATGTTATCGCAGTGTAAAAAAAATTTTGTAATTAATATGTAGTTGTAAAAACTTAAAGAAAAAAAACAACAACAAAAAAAAGGCGCCATGTTTCTATTTTGAAGACGCCATTTTTCTATTTTGAAAACGCTGTGTTTCCAATTTAAAGGCCCAAATGCTCGTTTGCAGTGTTATGTGACAAGAATATAAATGGTTATTATAACAACCTTACTAAAAAAAAAGCTAATTAAGGTGTTCCTTAAAATTAGGCTGAAACTCTGACATCTACACAGCATATAAAACTGTACCGGATTGAATTCAAGAAGATGTTTTTATATACCACGATTCAGCCTTTCATAATCGCTATGTCATCATATCCATATCCTCTGCAGTTCTGAAAATTTAAATGCAGATCTTTAAACTTTTTATGCATGCTTCCGAAAAACCTCACTAAGTGATGTGATTGCCAGGTAGGAATCCCACAAAAAATTCATTGATTGCGGTCGATCGTTTACCAAATATTCAATATTTATGTCTAAAAACGGCCCAACCTTACTTATTTCCCACGTTTTACTCTGGTTTTTTTTAACTCCAGTAAATCTTAGATTGTTTCTTTTTCTCCGGTCTTTCAGCATAACAAGCTTGTCTTTGACATCAAAGTTGATTATTTCATTTTAATTTGATATTGAGTTTGGCTTTTTTTTTATTTTTGAAAGTTTAACAAGTATTTTTTTATATTTATCGTTAACATATTCTTCTGATTTTTTCAGCTCAAAATTTTCTTTCTTTAGTTTGTATTATCTTCTTGAAGTCTATGTATCTTGGAGCCCATTTTATCAAACAAATCATTAAACATTATTGATAAAGTATTCTCGTGAATGTCTATCAACTTTTTTATTTGAGAAACGGAAAATTTTGCCATTTTTAATTATGTCTTTAAGAAATAAAAAAGAAGACACACCCAAAATTACGTCAAATGTTCCACATAAAAATAATACATGCATGATAATATAAGTTATTGTATTGAGTTTTTAACAACAAAAATGTAAAAAAAGCTATAAAAATGCAATGAGTTATTAAAAGAAAATTGAATCGTATGCTGCTCAAAAATCAGGTTTTGGTCAATTTTTAAATATGAAACATATTTTCTGTTTTAAAACAATTTTAAACCTATAAACAATTTTAAACCTGTAAACAATTTTAAACCAAATGATTTAAAAGTAATCAGTCCGTCAAATCTATTTAGCAGATATTGCTCTGCGAGGAAAATCCGCGCAAGCGTATCGACACAAACTATGATGGCAATTTCCTGATAAATTCCAATATTTTTTTAATTTTTTTTTTTGCGGAGTCTCAATCTACTTTAAAGTTGAACAAAGCTTTGTTGGTGTTAAAATTTTTGTTTATTTATTTGCTTTTAAATATTATTTTATATTTATATTTATTTGTTGAGTTTTGTTTTGAATATATTTATTAGATTTCTTGAGTGCTAGTCTTTTTAGTAACATTGTAACTCATATTTTGAACCTTTTGTTGTTATTTTTCAGTATACAATTTTAATCATTGCGCCAAACGCACAATATTGACTCATTATATTGGTTCATAATATTATTTGTTATCTTCATGCAGTCTTGTTTAAAAAAATTCCTTTAACTTTAGTATGTTATGTACCGTAATAAATAGTTTAAAATGTATAGTTTATTTTTGTAATTTAATCTTTGAACTTTTTTTTTTCTACTCCACTTTTATTAGTTACATGATAATTAATTCACTCATATGTTTCATTTACCAATTCATAATCTAAGAATATATTTATGTAAAAAATTTTTCAAAAGGCTGATGGTTGTAGGACCAAATAGAATATTTAAAACTACAGCCATCAAGTATATTAAATATTATCACATAAATTATTTAATTTATTCATGTTGTATATAAATGATCATAAAGTACATAAAATTATAAAGTTAGGCAAAAATAAATACAATAAGTAACACTCGAGTTAATTAGTGACACTCAAGAAGGGAAATGCACATCTTAATATTAGTAGCTTGTACATTTTAATTCCTAAGTGTCACTAACAACTTTTGAGGTTATTTCAAAAAAATTTTAAAATCCAGATGATTGGGTACCAGGAAGTTTACAGTTGTAGAAGTCAAATAAGGTAAGGGTAAAAAGAGGTAGAGGTATAAAAACATTGGAGTATACTTTAAAATTGACATAAAAAACTTCAGTTAAGGTAAGAAAGTGCTCAAAGTTGTCTAAATTGAAAAAACAACCAATCATAGAAACAAGAAGACAAATAATGATCATGATGACAATGGTTGTCATTATTTATCATCTTTGTCCAACAGTTTAAGGTCACTACTTTCTGTTCTTATTTTTTAGAATCATGTCACACATTTATCTGATTATCATTTTTTCTGTTCTTTCAAGACACTGGAAATCATCATCATCATCATCATCATCATCATCATCATCATCATCATCATCATCATCATCATCATATATATATATATATATATACATATATATATATATATATATATATATATATATATATATATATATATATATATATATATATATATATATATATATATATATATATATATATATGTATATATATATGTATATATATATATATATATATATATATATATATATATATATATATATATATATATATATATATATATATATATATATATACATATATATATATATATATCATTTTTATATATGTATCATTTATATATATAGATATATAAATGATATATATAAAGAAGCAATATCGCGACGATTTTAAAATAGTTGGAGGTTGGCTGCAAGAACAGGTCCAATTATGGATTAATAATTGGATTGTCTAAAAGAGAAAGGACATTATTTGAAGATCCACTCCAGCTATGACAATATTCCATACAAGGATATGTTTAAGATTTAGAGAGATAAAGGATAGAATCAAAAGTAAGAAAGTGGCAAGCGCAATAAGGCGATGCATCTTTAGCAATTGATAAAGTTTCTAAGAAAGTTTACAAGACAGATCGGAAGTAAGAGTTAATCCTAAAAGACCAAGGGTAGATGACTCATTGAGTACATTACTAGTCATAAATATATGAAGATCTAGATTGTTGGGATAACGATTAGCTGAAAAAAATAAATAGTTTTATCTAAGTTTAAGTTCACCAGCCACTGAGAGCCCCTTGCTTTAACATAAGTAAGTTCTTTTACAAGCTTAAATGCCCCCTCCAAGCAATTAGAGAGTGTTGGCTTCTTATCAAGATAGGAATAAATGATAGTATCATAAGTAAACAATGCCACCTTAGATGTGAGAGTTTCTGGGAGTTTGTTAATATAGATTAAAAAAATTATAGGGCCAAGGATCAAACCTTGAGGAACTCTTGAAGTTACAGGAAATGAAGAACAGTTCTGTATTGAGGACATTATTTATACTATGATTGTTAAGGAAGATTCAATAGTCTTATAGATGTTACATGATACACAGTAAGAGATTATGGAGAAGATGCCAAACTGTTTTAGCATATATATATATATATATATATATATATATATATATATAAATATATATATATATATATATATATATATATATTTATATTTATATATATTTATTTATATATATTTATTTATAATATTAACTGATTTAATTTTAGATTTTAAAATAAATGAGTAAAGTATAATGTAGTGGAAGATGTCATTAACTCGTGTGAAAGTACGGACTTCTTCAGAGACATGTGCTGATTGCAGTGCAGCAGGTATGTTGAAGAGTTTATTATTACTTTCTTGCTTGCCTGTACCTGAGCCCACTGTGTTTAATGTAAGTATACAGATCGCAACAAATCGTTTTTTAATTAATGTTGATGTTTGTATCTTCATTTCTTGACAATCATCTAATTTAAGATTAACAAGTCAAATAAGGAAGTTTTATTTTCAAATAGTTTTTATTCTAATTAATATGTTATTAGATGTATCGAAGATGCTTATTAAATTTAATCAATTTTATATATTTTCAAAACAATTTTTCAAGCATTTGCAAACTGCGCGTAAATAAATAATTATTAATATGCAATCATTGTAAACTGTTATCCAATGATACAAAACTGAATTTTTCTAAATTTAGTTTGTTAAATTTTTTTTAATAATAAAAATAATAAATAAACATGAAAAAATTAAAATAAAATAAACTAAAGAAATATAAATAGCACAATGATATCTCATTAATATTTATATATTAATTTCTATATTATTTGAATTTTATGTCATTCTATGCATGCAAGAATTGTCAGAACTTTTTGATTTATGGTCTTCTAAATTTCTAATTCCAACCACTGCGTCAATCCAATTTTTGACATGTTTATGGGGCAAAAAGTCTTCACTTAACTGGCCATCAAGTTGTATACGCATAATATCTTCTAAGATGTTGTCATTTACTGTTGAAGTGCTGAAAACATTGATTATACTTACCAGTTCAAGTTCATTTTTCAGCAATATATCTCTGTACATGCTTAACAGTGTGTTTGTCCTTAGTTTTGAAACTTTCTCCCTGTATAAACCCCTTTGCAATACACATAGTTTAGAAGTTTCTAAGCTTATCATATTATACTCATAAAAACACTTGCAAACACTTTTTATTTTATTAAATCCCTATTTTTTCATCTTTAAAAAACATGTAAACAATTTTATCTAGCTTCGACAATCAAAGATTGTGATTAAGGAATATTCAAATATTCTTCAATTCCCTAAGCTGTTTAAATTCTTCATTGCCTTACATTACATATCCACCGTCAAAGTTAACATTTACAGTTTTTACATGGATTTTGTTTAAATATAAATCTTAATATATTTTTTCTGTGGTTAAAATTTTAAAACAAATTCTATTGCATTTAATATACCATTAAAAAATTCTGTTCAATTCTTTATTGTGATTATCAGTAGTTTATGGTGATTATCAGTAGTAAGGTGATTATCAGTAGTAAGTTATGATGATTATCAGTAGTCTTTATGGTGATTATCAGTAGTAAAATTAATGTCGATACAGTTTTCTCAAGACTTGGAGTTGTATTGTAAAATTCTCGATATTTAGAAATACAGGTTTTATGCCCATCACCATTATTGTAGTGTAACAATTATATTCTTTTTCAAAATTTACATCCTGTTGTTCCTGAATTGATTGCATAGCTAATATTTAAACACTTTTGTCAAACGCAACAAGAGAAGCACTCATTTGATTTGTCAAAATGAATCTAGCAAAGTTGTTGCTTGTGTTTATTGTTGCTTGGCGACAATAAACATGGACAAAGAATTTCATCATCATCATCAGCACCATTTCTCCAATATGTATCAAAATGATGCGTATTGGAAAAATAGTGTGGCAGATAACAGAGATTCTAAAATGAATGACAATCATTATCATTTCAATATCTGTTTCTCACCTCTAGCTTAATTTTTCTCCTATTGATCTAATTATATCTTATATTTACAAACCTCAGAATCAAGCCGATCTCAAAGTGTTTGAGGTCCGCAAAAAACTGCAGACTTTGTTTCTATGTTTTATGTAAGACCTTTGTATCAACTTTTTTTGTTAACCTGATGCTGACCTCTAAAAGATTGTTTTCATTTTTTTAATAGCATTTAAAATGCGGCAGTGTTGTAGTGGTAAAACACTTGCTTCATAAGCGAGAGGTTCTGAGTTCGAATCCACCACGTCCCTGGTAGTACCGCGCTCAACTTGTTTCTCCGCGCAGCGGCCTAGTTTGTCAAGGTTATATATATATATATATATATATATATATATATATATATATATATATATATATATATATATATATATATATATATATATATATATATATATATATATATATATATATATATATATATATATATATATATATATATATTATATATATACAGGCCTTGTTTTAAAGCGTTACGCCTAGAGCGATTTACGTACGCCTTAAGCGATTTTTACGTACGCGTAGAGCTGTTTTGGTTAAGCTACTTTTTATCATTTTTTAACTTTTAAATTAGCGGTAACATAAAAGAAGTAATTAATTTAAAAAAAAACCACATTAACTTTTAAATAACGTTATGTAAAGGTATTTATTAAAAAAAAGAATTTACTTTAAAAATAATTATTGTAACTTTTCATTGCGATATATCTTTCCTTTTTGTAGCAATTAATTTGACGCTAAACTTTTTATCCAAATATTTAGCAACATAAAAAATTGTTTGTCAATCCTTAACTACAAATTTTTTGCAATGTTTTTAATAAAAAGTAGTAATTTTTTAAAGTTTTTGGTAAAAAGCTTTTAAAAAATCTATATTCCATATTTATTAATACAGAATATAAAAGTTTTTTGTAATAAAGATTTTTTATGAATTTTTTACTGAATTTATAATAAAAAACATTTGCAAAAAATTTTGTAATTAAGATTTGACATTTTTTTTTAATAAAATCTCAAAAAATGTCTTAATAATTTTGTTATCATGATAACAAAAATATCAAGACATTTTTTCGAGATGTTAAAAAAAATGTTTTTGCTTTTCTTATTAGTTTAATAGTATATAGCTTATAGTTAGTTTAATAGTATATAGCTTTTCTTATTAGTTTATAATTTAAGTTATGCGGGGGGAGGGGGTCGGCACAGAAAAAAAAAAATTACCTGTTACTCGCAATATTTGAATGAAGACAATTTGTTAAAATTCTTCTGCGTGCGATTCAATAAGTTTTTTTTTTCATAAATCAAGTTATAATATAAGGTAAAGAAATCATGAGTAGACTACAACATCCGCTGATGACACTAATATTACGTTGAATATATTTATATAACGGAGGTTTTATTATGCACGCGCACATTACAGGTTCCGTTAAATAAATACTAAGGCACGTTTTAGTTTAATGACAGTCTCCATTTTTTACTAATGAATATGTATTTTTCTTTATAAAACAAAACAAACTAGTATATAAAAACGTTGTATATTTCTATTATCTCTAAATTGTTTAAAGTTCGAATATGGATTGTATTTTGAAGGACAAAAGATTTACTTTAAAAACTTTTAAATCTTGGGACTTTGCCGATGCTTTGCCGATGCGATGATCACAGAAAAAGAGAAGACTTACGTTATTAAAATCAAATGTAAGTTATGTGATCTTCATCAAAATAAAATATTATCCAAAAACAATAGTGCCGTAAGGGCAACTGCCCAACGGTTTATAAATAATACGAGTCATGTTAAAATATTTTAACATGTTACTATATTTTAATTAAGTTGATATATAATTAAAAATAAAAATATAGTTCAATAAATAAATTAAATTTATTCTTAACAAAGATTACCTCATATTTATTTATTTTTTTATTTTATTAAGTTAAATTGCGTACAAACAAAAAAAAAAAGAGTTTTGTAATTATACGTAGAATGAAAATACTTTTGAGTTTGTTTATAAGTTAAGGAACTTAATTTTTAATAAACAAATTTTACGAACGTTTATTATAAACAGATACGATTCAAATTATTAAATATACTTAAATTATTTCAGTTGAGTATTTTTTTAAGTTTGCACGATTAAAGTTTGGCGTAGAAGTATTTGTTTTTTTGTTTTAAGAATAATTAACAAAAGAGTTTGCATAGTTAAGACTTTTATATTTAATTTTATTTTTTTTTTAATTTCCTAAAATTAAAAAAAAAAAATGATTTAATCGTTGAAAACGATTTTTCTCTATAGCTCTGTTTCTTTGTGATTTGTTTAAAAAGTTAAATATTTTTACAATAACATAAAAAATTTATGAATTAAATTCCTAGCGAACGCGTTCTTAACTACGTATCAAAAATATGCACAAAGCAGACAAAACTTTTTATATTTTTATAAAACGCAAGTTTGAAACGCTTTTAAAAATTTTAAAAATATTTAAAAACTTAAATTTTTCTTTGCTAGTCAAAACAAAATCGTTGTTTAAATAATTAACATGGGTTTGCGTTTATCAATGTTAATATTTTTTGTTTACTCTAGAAATTTTTAAAAATAAAAAAAATCATTATTATTTTTTATTCAATAACAATTAAAAACAATTATTCAAAAACAAATTTCAGAAATAATATATATATATATATATATATATATATATATATATATATATATATATATATATATATATATATATATATATATATATATATATTACTAAATAATATTGAACTAAAATTAATAATAAAATAACAATTGAAAACATTACAAAATTTTCATAATAAATTTATATTTAAAACGTTTATAGTTTATATTTGAGTTAATTGTTAAATTGAACTAGTTTGCGGTTATTCATTTATTAAGGTAATTAAAACACTTAACGTCTATAAAAAAAAATAAAGATAACCTTATGACGTCAAATATCGCGTTAAGCTAATGCGTTGAGCACTTTAAAACAAGGCCTGTATATATATATATATATATATATATATATATATATATATATATATATATATATATATATATATATATATATATATATCTTGATATTTTATTTTACTAAATATAATGTAAATAATAATATCTAGAACATTTTTCAAAAATTGGTTGTTTAATAGTATCATATTCCTAAATATTGTACATTGCACAGTTTTTACAATACCCAAATTTAAGATTATGAAAAAAACAAAAACAAGAATAATTAATTGTGTAAAAAAGTAGAATAAGTTTTTACATATTTAATACAATACTTATGTTTATAATAAGTTACCAAAATCATGAAGTTTTTTAATTTTTTTTTTAAGAAGATATTTCTGAAAGTATTTTTTAAACCTTTTAAATAAACTCAAAGTTAATTAATACCAAAAAAAAAAGAGAAAAAATATTTTTTAAATAGTTTTGAATAAACGTTCATGACTTTGCCACTGACACATATGAAGAAACATAAATATTGAAAAATTTAAAAGTATATATTAGGTAAGCGATGGAGTTACTTATCAATTTTACAAAGTTATAAGCTGTCTTTACTTTTTTTGTAGTAGACGTGCAAAGTAGATTTTATGAGAGACTGTATAATGAATGTACTCAGTATAATCACTGATATTATACAGCCTTTGTCTGTATATTTTAATGAAACTTAAATAAGCCTTGTTCGTTAAGGTTCTTGTTTCGGAGTTAGAGTTGAGAGAGATTTATAAACACAATTAAGTAGCTTCCTTGTCTGTAGTAGCCTTCTCAGTCTTGAGGTGGTTAATTAACATTAAAAAAACAACTATAGGCCTCCCCTTTTGCAACCAAACATTTATCAAAATAGAAATATGCTTACTTACCCCACTCAAATAGCAATATGCTTACTTACCCCACTCAAGTAGCAATATGCTTACTTACCCCACTCAAATAGCAATATGTTTACTTACCCCACTCAAATAGCAATATGCTTACTTACCCCACTCAAATATAAAACATAAAGCAAATAAACTGAAATTGATATTTTTTGGTAGCAATTAATAGTTTTAAACTTACTTAAAGATTCATTCTCAAGCAGAAAATTGAGTTGTTATATTTAATATCATTGCAATATTATTATCTGATAAGGTTTTTTAACTTTATATCTCTTGTTATTTTTTTACTCCTGATTCCAATTCTCTATCTCTATTAGTCATTTATTTTTCTTTGTATTTTCTTTGTAATAATATACTTTAAAAATGGTATTTTACAGAGCAATGTTGTATCCATTTTGCCATGTATTGTTTTTTTTTATTGGGTGCAAGGGCCACTCTATAGAATAACTTGTTTTATTTAATTAATGCAATTAGTAAAGATGTAGCAAAACATTTAATTAAACCTTAAATTTGAATTTAAAAATTAAAAAACATTTTAGATTAGCAGTAGTTGTTTTTTATTTTATTTAGCTCTTAATTCATAATATTTACTTAATTCAACTGTTTTGTTTACACTCTGCTTGCAATGCAGATGATGCAAGTTATTTAAATTCATAACTGAATAACATTTTTAAATTTTTTCTCTATCAACTTTAATATTTTCCTTTTCCTTTAACATTAACCTTTTCCTTTAGCGACATTATTGATACATCTTCTCATTTATAAAATCATTAATGTGGAGTCTTGATAGGACTTCAGCTTTAAATCTCTAATATTTCCTGGTTTCTGGTGTCAAGGAGCTCTGAATATGTTTGGTGATATTATCTGCAATGAGAAACAAGTACATGAAATTTAATGACTTAATGAATCTATTATTTTTTAGCATTGAGTCCTGGAGTCCTTGTCATCATTATACATAAGGACTCCAGTTTTAAAAATTTATTGCTACTCTTACATAAAAGTCTTCCCATTCCCAAAAATTTTCCCAAAGTCCATAAGGTTTCTACATTTATGGAACTCTTAAATATCAAAAACCAGGAAGAAATAATCTTTTTGTGACTATTAAATGCTTTTGCTCTTAAAGTTTTATTCTTTTCTGTTTAGCACAATCCTGTTCTAAAAAAATGCTTTATTTTTGGAGGCGTTTTAGAGGGGTTTTGTCCTTATCCATTTATCCATTTAAAATTTTGAAAATACTCTAAATTAAAGTGATTGGTTTTATGGATTGATTTTTTGTTAGTTTTAAAACTATTTGCCCATCAGATAAAAAAAATTATAACAAATTGACAACTTCAGCAACAACAATGACAAAATCATCCATATCACCATCAAACTCAACAATAAATTTAACAGCAACATCATCATCAACAGTTAAAATAACAATAGTACTGTGATAATGATTACTAAGAGTGTGAATGTTAAGGTGTAAAAGAAAAAAAAAGTACAGCTTAACTTAAACTGAAAAAAAGTTAATATCTACAGAATTTAAAACAAATGTCAACACTTATTTGAAGAGATTGAAGTTGTTTGTTTTGAAGTTAATATTAAAAATGTTTCAACAGTTATTTGAAGAAGAGGTTGATACTTAAAAACCCTACAATTTAAACATTTTTAAACTTAAAAAAGAACCTAGACAACACCTTGCATTTTGATAGTACACAAATTGATGACGAGACCTTTTTTTATAAATTTTCAAAATACCTTAAGTTACAATGTCACAAAAAAATTCTTTTTTATTCTTTTTTTGTTTAATTAGGGCCAGAATGGGCATCTATAAACCGTGGTGTACTTATCTGTGATGAATGTTGTAGTGTTCATAGATCCCTTGGAAGACATATATCACAAGTTCGTCATCTACGCCTGGCTCCATGGAATACTTCTCTTTTTGCTGTAAGTTTTTCTTTTATTTTATGTATTTTAAGTATGCTTTTAAATATTACTAATATATGTGCTTTCATTTTTATTTATATATATATTGGTGTACCCTCATGGTTGTCCGGTGGCACGGAACGACTCGTTTTTCCGAGGGCAGCTGATATTAAAAAAAAAGTCTGTCATTAGCCAGGCATGACAACCAGAGAGTTTGTTACTTATAAGAGTGTGTTTATTAATAAAACTATATTTTAATTGAAGTAGAAAAGCATCTAGAAATATAGAGTACAGGCCTTCTCGTAAGAGGCATGCGATCGCACGCCTTATAAGACCACGCATATAGTTCTTTGTTTTAACAACTTGACCACAGCTCTTAGCAAGTTTTGATAATTAGCGGGTTTAAAAAATGCGCTAAAAAAAACAAAGAATAAAAATAAAAATAAACAATCCATAAACTGAAAAGAGAATAAAATCCATAAAATAATATATAATACAAAAATTAACTTAAAAAAATAAAATATTCAAAGAATGATAAAATAAATAAAGGAAAAACCAAAAATAAAAAAAAATAAAAATATTTATTAATGTAAAATTAATTGTAAACAAAAGTAAAAAAGCGTCACTTTTAAGTAAAATAACTAAATACGCTATAGAAAAAGTAATTATGTTTTAGCATGGTTTTTGCATGCACTTACAAATGCATACATAAATTTACTAAAAATGAATGCTTTTGCAAAAACTTTAAAAGAAACCATGCTCAAACATTTCGATTGCTTTCTTCTATTAAGAAAAGCGATCGTAACGTTTAACGACCGTTTCTTTTATGTTCTTAGTAATTACATTAAAAGTTTAAAGCAAATGTATTCAATTATAAATAAAATTTAGCATGTTTTTTTTAAATTTCCTTATTTTCCATAAAGTGAAGTAATATTTGTTTGCATATTAAAACTTTTTCACTTTTAAAAGTTTTTTTATTTTGCATTTATCATTAATTTGCGCGCACTTTGCAATTATGTAAAAAAAAGGTTTTTGAAAAATAAAAATCGAATAAATTTACCAAGCATCTTTGATATATTTAATAACTTATTAACTAGAGTAAAAATTATTTGAATTTTATTTGACATAAATCTCTTAAATTAGACGTTTGTCAATAAATAAAGATACGCAAGTCAACATTCATTAAAAAAAAAACGATATGTCACGCCCAGGGATAAAAAATAGTTAGCAGATACGATTGTTTCAAGATTATTGTAATCCCTTTTTTTTAGTAAATAATTTTTTAATTAGAAATTATATTTCCATGATAAAATGGCTTGTAATTAGCTTCTGTACTCATTTTCTCCCTCCTGATTCCATTTTTTACCTCTCTTATTCATCCCTGTTTGGATTCTTCTAATGATGTTCTTTCTTTTCTAGACAAAGTCCAAAAAACGCATTGTAAACGTAGTTGGAACTGGTGTATCTGCTAAGTTTGAGTCTCTTTTCCATCGTTGTAAAGTTGCATCTCCTTCTCTTTTTTACAAATACTATCATGGCTGCTGTTCAAAGGAGCTATTATCTTTAGTTCCATCAACTAAAACTCATTCTTGCTTGACTCATCATTCAGCTAGTCTCATGGTTTTACTGTATCTGTCCCTGCATGCTCTAAAAACTTATCCTTTCTTCATGTTTTCCTGATTCATGCAACCTTCAATTTATTAAGTCTTTTGTCAACCGTTTCCCTCTTCTATAACTCTAACCTTTTTTTCTAGTAAATCCCAACTTTTTAGTGCTTGCAGCTACGTTGGGAGTGAATCAAAATATATATATATATATATTTATATATATATATATATATATATATATATATATATATATATATATATATATATATTTATATATATATATATATATATATATATATATATATATATATATATATATATATATATATATATATATATATATAATTTATTTTTTTGTAAAAAATAGAAAAGGAGGAAGAAAATAAAGAAAAAAATTCTAGTTTTAAAATTATGATATATAGTCGAAAACATTAGAAGAGTTATATTGCTTCAAGCATAAATTCAAGCAAAAAAAAAAAATTAATAATAGAGTTATATCCATAATAGAAGTTTTTTTTTCAATATTAAAAAAATAAACTCTTTATAAGATGTTGTTTAAAGTTTGTAATAATGTTTTTTCTTTTTTTTTTTGTAAAATCAACCATAATAATAAAACAAATAAAGAAACAAAAAAAAGTTAAATATCAAAATAAAATTTAACGTTAAAATTTTTAAGCTAATAATTTTTTTTTTTTATAATTTTTTAAAAAAATTTAGTAATTATTTTATATATCAAACAAAATTTTTATTCAAATTTTTTACATAATCGTCATTCAAACTTTATAAGGGGTTTTTATAAGGTTTTTATCTTACCACTTTAATGATATCTTTAGACTTGTATTAAAAAATGATAAAAAATGGCTTAAGTGAAATGGTTTAAAATAACTTCTTTTAAATTCTTATCCACTCCCAACAAGGCTGCAAGCAACTACTATTAAGTTGGCAGTTACGAGAAGAAAAAAAAAAAAAAAATTATAGTGCTAGGAAATGGTTGACAGAAAACTTAAAAAGTTGTAGGTTGTATAAGTCAAGGAAACATAAAGATGTGAGAGAGTTTCAAAGGATTGAAGTTCAGGAAAAAAACTAGGCGAATAAAAGTTTTTGAAGCGCGCAAGGACAGAAACAGTAAATGAATGAGACTTAGTTGAAAGATGAGTCAAACAAGAATGAGTTTTAAATGATAGAACTAAAGATGATAACTCCTTTGAGCAGCGACCATGATAGTGTTTGTAATAAAAAGAAAAGGATGCCACTTTTTGACAATGGGAAAAAGCCTCAAGCTTAGCAGATAAAGCAGGTTCAAATATGTTTGCAATGCCTTTTTCGACCTTGTCCAGAAGAGAAAGAATTATAGGTAAGAAACAAAACAGGACCAATGATTGAGGTACCCCAGAAGTCACTGAAAATGAAAAAGAATGTTGGTCTTAGAAGATGGCATTGATAAAGTGGTTAGAAAAAAACAATTTAATCTCAAAGACTTTCCCTTATACACCATATGAAGTAAGCTTATGGAGAAGTCCAGTATGCCAAACTTTGTTGAAGACTTTAGATATGTCAATAGCAATAGCCCTAGCCTGATGGTCTCCATCTAATGTATGTTAAAATATTTTAGTCAAAGAAAGTCAGCTATTGAGTGAGAGGATCGAAAACTTTATTGATTGTCTAACAGTAAGTTATTTGACTCAAAATGGGATGTAAGAAATTTGGTGATCAAGGACTCAAAGACCTTGCTAATAACAGAAAGTAGACTGATTAGACAATGATTGGAGGGGTCAGAACGTTCTCTGGAGTTTTTGAAAATTGGAACAACAGATGCCATTTTTTAGCAAGCACGAAAACAAGACTCAGTCAAGCACTTATTAAAATGTTTAAACTGAATTAAAAATAGTTTTGTCAGTCTGTCATAGAAAATGTTGTCTGGACCACAACCCGTAGAATAGTTTAATTGAGGTATGACTTTGGTAACAGAAGCTGGAGTGATTTGAATATCTAACAATGGGTTAACCTGTTTAATTGGAATGTAAGTATGAGATTGGCCATAAGATTCAAGAGTTGAATTAGAAGAAAAGCAAATAGTTCTGTTTTAGCTTTGAAATATGTAATAAGATCAGTCCCATGAATGATAGTTTAAATGTTAGAACACCCTTGTTAATGATGCTGTTGAAAATTTTCCCAAAGTCTCTAAAGCCTAACTTAGTGACCTGAGAATATAGGAGCTTAGGACCTTTTTACATAGATTTCTTGCAATAATAAATGATAATAATAATAAAAATGATTACGATTAGATATAGCAGCTGCACAAGAGGGTGAAAACCATGGAGTAGAATGAGGGTTGATTTGGAACTGGCGAGAAGGAATACAAGCTTCCATTCCTGCCTGAATCCAGGAGGTTATACAGAAGGCGCATTTTTCAGCTGAGAAAGAAAAGACATCAGACCAAGGACTGTCACAAAGAAAATCAGGAAAAGAATCCCAGTCAGCTTTAGAGTAGTAGTAAGTAATGTGATGATAGGGTGAGTCCGAAAAGATGGAAGGTTGCTTCGCAGACTATGAATATTAGTAAAAAACATTTTAAAACAGTTAGGTGGGAAACTTTTGGGAAACTTTTAGCATGGTTTAAGTTTAAAGAGAACTTGACTCGTTCATAGATAAAACATGACCTCCTAAGCAAAGAGCTATGTAGTTGTCTCAGTCCTGTTAATTAATCCTAAGTTGTAACTTAGGGCTCCTTATGTAGCCTCGATGTTGCATACCAAAAGCATTAAGAGGAACATGATCCATGCACAACGTGGGAATTTTAATTCTCTGATATTTTGCAGCTGTTGATGGAATCAGCCTCTCTAAGAGTTCAAGAATTACAATATAATTACCTCTCACAGAATTCAAGAAACTGTCAGCTGGCCTCACAACCTTTAAAATAAGTTTTAGAGCTGTAATCTCATTAGGAGATAATAGGGATTTTTTAAAGTTTCGAATAATCACTGGTTTAATCTTTGCAATAGAATGTTTTTACTTTTAAAACTATTTTCAAAAAAAAAAATTTGAATAACTATTCAAAACGTTTATGATTTAAATAAAACTTTCTTCTTCACTTGCACTATGTTCTAAATCTGGTATTGTTGCTGTAACTAGATATATGTTTAACTTTAAGGAATGATCCTCGCAATCCCACTGTGTATTATCAGTGATATGACTGTAGTAACTGGTTGTTTTAATTTAGTTTAAAGGTAATTTTACTGAAATGTACTTTATCCATACAGTAAATCTAACTAAGTTTAACTTTAAAATATGGTTGGCTTCCACACAGAGGTTTAAAGTTATTTAAGTTCGATAACACTTTATGTTGAATAGAAATCTCTAGACAAGAGAGTAAATGATCATACAAATGATTATGTAATATATATATATATATATATATATATATATATATATATATATATATATATATATATATATATATATATATATATATATTATATCCCATTTTAAATATCTTAAATCATTTGTAGCATATTTAAAAAAATTTTACTTGCTTATGTTGGGTCTCAAAAGAAGGTATATTAAAAAAGAAATTTAAAATTAATAAAAAACAAATTGAAGAAATTTTTATTAAAAAACTATACTTTTAAAAAATAAAATAAAATTTGCGACCTTTAGAAAAGCATTTATCAATTGCACCCAAAAATGTTTTTGCTGCGTTTGTTCAATTTTATCAAAGCAAACACTCCATTGCATTTATTACGTTAAAATGTAAAAGTTTCCATTGTAGATCAAAATCTATGAATGCAACCAAAAAACTTTATTTTTTGTTTTATGAAGGGAAAATTGCTTAGAAAATTTTTTTTATAAATTTTATTAAAATTTTTTGTTTCTTAAATTCAATATCAATTTATGAAAAGTTCTAATGACATAATTTTTATTTATGACCAAAAAAATTCATAAACCTAAATTCATAAACCTAAATTATTAAGCATCGTGATTGTGATGTGTACATTAACATGATTAAAAATGCTACTAAAACATTTTTTAAAAATTTACGTTTGCATTTTAAATTAAAAGGAAATGTTATTTTGAAATGCATTTTGAATTAAAATGCGTTTCAAAAACGTGACTACAATGTTTTAAAAATTTTTTAAATATTTTTAATTGCGTAGGTCTAATTTATTTCAAATGGGCTTTTTTTATGACATTCAGTAAAATTACATATTGCAATGTATACTTTAAATGCTTTTTAAAGTTTTTCTTAAAATAATTACAATGAATAGAAAACTTTTTTTTTAAGAACTTACAAAAATGTTTTAAAATAAAAATACCAGTCTGCTCAACCTGCCTAGCAACTGATTGGTATTTTTTTTTCTAAATTTTATTTAAATAAATTTTATCTAAATATAAAATCTGTGAGATTATTATTAACAAAGAATAGCCTGGTTCTAATAAATTATGTGGTATAAAAAAGAAACATTTTTACGAGACAAAATTAAAGGATACTAAACAATTTCTAAGGAACTGCTGTCCTGGGTTACTTTAAAAGTTCTGCTTTTTGTTTAAATGAAAAAGGCTGGATTTTAAAATTGTAAAAAAGCTAAAGGCAAATGTTCTCTAAAGCTTTAAAAAATTGATTAAAATTTTAGAATTTTTTTAGGTTTGATAATAATTGCAATTAGAATTAGTAGCACATATCGTTTATTCTGTTTAATTTCTAGTTCATTTATTTAAAAAAGCTATTTGAGATTCAAGAAAAATTAAGGAGTTATTTAAAGGGACCACCAATTGTTAATGCAAGTTGTGTTCATATTAATGTTATAAAATGTTTGGGCTAAATTTTTTTGATTAAAACTAAATAATAAATGTAATTTTCAATAAAAACTAAGTTAGTTGTTTTGCCTAACCACAGCTATTAACATTTCAAAAATGTATAAAAATTCATACAAGAAATGTTAGAGTTGTAAGTTAGAAATAAATCGAAACTTTTATCTTTTCTAATGTTTTTATATTAGAAATGAATAACATCGAAACTTTTATCTTTACTAATATTTTTATATTAGAGAAATGCTATTATTATTAGAATGTTTTAAAATTACTGCTTATTATTTTTTATATGAAGTATTGATAAATACATAGTTTTTTTTACTTATATATAAATATGTATTTTTTATAAATCATAAAAATTAAATTAAAAAAAATATATATAAAAAGTAGAAAACAAATGTTTAAAACAAAGCATGAAACGGTTTTAAAAAATGTAAACAAAGCATGAAACGGTTTTAAAAAGATTTAAATGTGTAATTATTTGCTAGCAGGTGTTCGTATGAAAACTTACTACTTTTAAATTATTAAAGAAAAACATTATTTAAATTAAATTAGAAGTTGTTACTTTATTTAAAAGGATTTCCTATAATATTTATAAAAATTTATTCCACAGAATTAAAAAACCTGATTTAAATAAATATTTGCATTATATTCTTTTGTGTTTTATTTTGTGTTTTTCTTTTCTTTTTTTAAATAATTTTTTTTTTTTAAGTTTTTTTTTTTTTTTTTTAATTAAGTCTGAATAAGTTTTTTCAACAAATTTTTAAAATGTTTAAATTCTAAAAACATGTTAAAAGCTGTGGCCTAATCTTAAAAACAAAATTGTTATTTTCGTTGTCATGACATATTTATTTTGTAAAACTTTTAATAAAGTGTTTTAAGGTGATTAGAAGTCACCTTGAAACACTTTATTAAAAGTTAATAAAACATTCGATAAAACTTGCATAAAAATCATACCATCAACAAATAGCTCTTATATTTTCAAAGTTTTAATTTTAGATGACTCAAAATTTGGTAAGCAATGGTGCAAATTTAATTTGGGAACATTCGTTGACTGATGCAAGTAAGGGAGTAGCAATTGGAATTCGAAAACCTAATCCTAACGATAATGTTCAGTATGGTTCAATATTTTCTTTTCATTTTTATTTTTTATTTAAAATTTCAATTTTTTTATTCTGATATGTTTTGATTTTAAGTTTATGTATTTCATTTTTATGTTTTTATCATTGTTAACAATACTCAGTTTACTTTATTGATGGGCATTCACATAGTTTAATTTTTTGGACAGTAAAGCCATAAATAGTCAACAGTTTTATTAATTTTCTTTTAAAAAAAAAATTCAACATTGTGATTTTTAAAATTAGGATTTTTTAATTCAATTAATAAAATGTGAAGTTACTAGAATTCTCAGAACTAAATCAAAAGTTATATAAACCATAGTGTTAATATATCGTAGCCCTAAATTTTACAAAAAATGATCAAACTGTTCATTTCAGCTGGTTACAAAAAAATGGTCAAACAGTTCATTTCAGATGTTTACAAAAAAAGTGAAATTTTTTCATAAACTATAATTAGACTAAAACGATGATGATGAAGACGATGATGATGATGATGATGATAATGATGATGATGATGATGATGATGATGATGATGATGATGATAACGATGATGATGAGGTTGATGATTATGATGATGATGATGATGATGATGATGATGATGATGATGATGATGATGATGATGACATTGATGATGATAATGATGATGATGATAATGATGATATTGATGATGATAATGATGATAATGACAATGATAATGATGATGATAATGATGATGATAATGATAATGATGATGGTGACAATTTTCTTATTCATTTCAGCCCAATTAAGTCAAACTTTATAAAAGCAAAGTATCAATTACTTGCATTTGTGCATCGTCTACCGAATACAGATGATAAATTGTCTGTGGTTGACTTAAGTAAGGTAAGCTTCTTTTTAAATTGTATAAAATTATTTTAGCCTTATTATTTATTAATATAGATAAACTGTTATTAACATTATACTTAAAAACACCAATTAGTTCACAATATTAAATTTGTTATTCTAAAAATTATTTTGGTTTTTTTTTTTCAGGTTTTATACATTTTTGAAAATTTTAGAATTAAAAATTTTTTTTTTTTAATTCTAAAATTACATTGTCCCAAAAACACAAAATTTATCTAGGTTCAAAAATAACCATGTTTTGTACTTTTGAACTTTGAATTTTTTGCTTTGAGAAAAAAAGAATATGTATTAAAGGAGTTCAGTGACTTGATGTATTGAAGAAGTTTAGTGACATAATGTATCAAAGGAGTATAGTGAATTTTTTTTTTTTAATTCTGATTCACTCCCAACAAGGCTGCAAGCAACCACTATTGTATTAATAGTTAACATAAAAGAAAGAATAGAGTTATAGAGCTAAGAAGCGGTTGACAGAAGACTTAAAAAGTTAAAGGTAGTATGAGTCAGGAAAACTTGAAGTTGGGAGAGAGTTCCAAAGGGTTGAAGAATAAAAGTTTTTATAACATGCAGGGACAGATACAGTAAAAGAATGAGAAATTGATTTGATATGAATGACTAGTCAAACGAGAATGAGTTTTAGTTGATGGAACTAAAGATGAAAGCTCCTTTGAGCAGCGGCCATGATAGTATTTGTAGAAAAGAAAAAGATACGCAACTTTACAACGATGGGAAAGAAGCTCAAGCTTAGTAGATAGACCGGGCCCAACTACGTTTACAGTGCGTTTTTTGGATCTTGTCTAGAAGTAGAGTTGCAAAAAAAACCGTTTTTTTTTAATTGTGTTTTTTTTGCAAAAAAAAACATGTTTTTTTTGTGTTTTTTTGTGTTTTTTATGGTTTTTTTTGTTTTTTAGATTAAAAAAAAAATTATTTACTTTTATTTAATTTTTATTTTTATTATAAATGTAATATAATATATATTAATAACATGATATATGGTAAATATATAGTACATCATTTAAAAGATTTATTTTTAATTAATAACAGATTCTGTATTCTGGCTTTCTTGTTCATTAAGGTCTTCTATTGCCTGGCATATTTTTTTTTAGATTTCTTTTTTTTTTTAATTAAAAATAATTAATAGATTACAAATTGTTTAATATAAATGTTTTTTCATTAGACAAAGTTAATCATTGTGTTATTTTTATTTACTTGAATATTGTTTAAATAAATAAAATTTTAGCTATCTAATTGCAATTTAAAATAAAATAAAGAAATTAAATATTAAAAATTTAAAAAAGTAATATACAAAAGTAAATAAAACATTAAAGTAAATTTTATTTAAAAGTTGGTTCATTTTTGTATTTTGCAATGCAGTGTTATTTCATTCATTTTTATGAATGAAATAACACTGCTAAAATAACATTTTTATTTCCTTCATTCAGTAGTATTATACTTACAATCAACTAGTAGCTAAAAGTATAGTTTTTTTGAGATTTATTTAAAAAATTACTTTTTTAAATATTTAATAATGTTTTTTTTTAATATTGGTGATTAGTTTGTAACAGCTATTATATAAGTTAATATGCATTTTATTAAATAGAAAACATTTGTATTTTGTAGGTTTAAGGGCACTGGAACTGTTTCAAGTATTATTATTATCTAAAATTTAATGAATACTAAAAAAAAGCAAAAAAAACTATAAAAAACATGTTTTTAGAACCAGTCTGTTTTTTTTGCAAAAAAAACTTGTTTTTTTTAAAAAAAACACCGTTTTTTTTTGGGGTTGCAACTCTATCTAGAAAAGAAAGAGCATTAAAAGAATCAGCCCAAATATGACAACAATATTCCATACAGGGACAAATAAGAGATTTGTAGAGGTAGAGAATGTAATTAGGAGAGAGAAAATGGTGAGCACGATAAAGAGAAGCAACCTTAGCAGATGCTAATTTAGTAATTGATTGTATATATGGTTTCCATGAAAGGTCAGTAGTAAATGATAATCCAAGAAGATGTAAAGAAGAGGACTCAGTGAGAGGGTTGCATTCATCAATATAGGAATGTCGACAGTGCTGCAATAGTTGTTTGCAGTAAATAACCTAGAACCAGAAGTTACTGGAAATAAAGAAAAGTATTGGCCTTTGAGAATGACTTTAATAAAGGGGTTAGAAAGAAACGATTTGATATTCTCAAAAACTTTTCCAGATACATAATATGAAACAAGCTTATGGAGAAGACCAACATGCTAAACTTTGTCAAAAATCTTAGATATTTTAAGAGCAATAACCCTAGCCTCTCCACCTCCGTCTAATGCACAATAAGATCTTTCAGTCACAGCAGTTAGCAAGTCAGCCGTAGAACGAGAGGATCGGAAACTGTATTGATTGTCTGACAGCAATTTATTTGACTCAAGACTCAAAGACCTTGCTAATAACAGAATGAAGACTGATTGGACAATAATTAAAGAGGTTAGAATGTTCACCAGAGTTTTTGAAAATTGGAACAACAGATACCATTTTCCAGCAGGCAATAAAACAAGACTCAGTCTTATTAAATTTTCAGCACTTATTAAATAGTTTAGAGAAAATTAAAGAGAGTTCTGGAGAACTATTTTGTAAAACTGTGACAGAAAAGACCACAAGCCTTAGAAGAGTTAAATCAAGATATGATTTTAGCAAGGGAAGCTAAAGTGATTTGAATGTCTAACATGTCTAACAATGGGTTAACCTGTTTAATTGGAATGAAAGGAAGAGAATGGCCATAAGATTCAGGAGTTGAATTAGAAAAGAAGTTCTTTGCAAATAGTTCAGCCTTATCCTTGGCAGAGGTTATAAGATCAGTCTCTTGAATGAGAGATGGAATGTTAGATCTTCCTTTGTAAACAATGCTGTTGAAGATTTTCCAAAAGTCTCTAGAGCCTAACTTATAATAATAGCATCTGACAGCACCTTTTTACGTTTCTTGCAATAATAAATAGTGGTTTGTTCTTGAGGGAGTTGTTCTTTTGAAAAAGATGAAAAAATGATTACAATTAGGTATAGCAGCTGCACAAGAGAGTGAAAACCATGGAGTAAAATAAGGCTTGACTTGGAACCGGTGAGAAGGAATAAAAACATCCATTTTATTCCTTCATCGGAGATGCAAAAGCCCGGGAGGTACACATCAGCCTTAGGATTGTCACAAAGAAAATCATGAAACGAGTCCCAATCAGCTTTAGGGTAGTAGTAAGTAGTCAATGATTGAATCATTGACTACTTACTACCCAACAATGAGTGAATCCAAAAATGAAATACGAGATAAAAGATTTAAAGAGATCATGGCATGGTCAGAACCACCTAAGGGAGAAAAAGGAGCAACTGAACACAAGCAAGGATCATAGACCAGGCATGAATCAAGGAGTGAAGGTAAATGAAAGGTTGTCAGGAAAACAAGTCACAAAGTTTGCTATCCGAGTAAGAGATTGAGAAATGCAGAAGTTATAGGCTTTAGTGTCAGCTGGGTCAGTAGCATTAGTGCCAAGCCATTCAGTGCAACAAACAATAAAATCACTAATAACAACAACATTGGCAGAGGGGTAAAGAGAGAGGGCTTGGTTAATTTGATCAGAAATTACATAGTGTAGTCTTGGTAAAAAGGAGAAAGAGAAAGGCGATAGAGTGAAGAGGTGCTAAGCGGAAGCATATAAAGGAATCATCAAAGGATTCGAACCTGATTTTATGTAAAATAGGTAAATTGATGCGTATGTATACTCCTAAGTCAAGCATGTGACGATTGGAAACTTTGCAAATCAAAGGATAGTACCCATCAACACTGAAATCAGAAGAAGGAATAGCAGAATTTAAATTAGTCTCACTAAGAGCAAGCAAGTCTGCTGAATTTTAGAAGAAGTAAGATTCAACTGATGGAAGGTTACTTTGCAGACCATGAATATTAGTAAAAGATATGTTAAAAAAGTTAGGTGGTGGGGATGGTTTTTTATGTTTAATGTTTTGATTTACTTTTGGCATAAGTTAAGTTTAAAGAGAACTTGGCTCATTCATAGATAGAGCAGGGCCTCCCAAGCAATGAGCTATGAAATTTTCTCAGTCCTGTTAATTAACCCAAAGTCATAACATAGGACAAAAAAAAAGCATTAACAGGGCTTGATGTATTGAAGACTTGATGTATTGAAGGATTTCAGTGACTAGATGTATCAAAGGGGCTCAGTGACTTGATGTATTGAAGGAGTTCAGTGACTTCAATGATTAAAAATAACCATAAAAAGTTTTTCATTTTTATGATTATTTTTGTTATATGATTAATTATTAAGTTATAATTAATTTTTAAGTTAAAGTTATATATTTAATTTTAAATTTTCCTAATGAAAATGTTTTATCAGTGTTCGTCATCAAAAGCTACATAATTATTTAGGCAGCAAATTGTAGTACTATGGCCTGAAAAAACAAAGGGGTAAATCATTAGACACATTATTAAGGTTAAAACAACTTGGATCCAAACAACCATGGCGCAATTGATTGATCTGCCAATCTTTAAGGAGTGTTTGTCTGGTTATCCTTCTTGTACATATATTAATTTCTATATTCTGTGTCCTACCAATCAATTTGAAGCTAGAAAACATAGTTTCCATATTTAAAAAATATAGCAAATAAGATTTAAGTTAATTATTTTTTAAAGTTTAATTTAGCAGCAGATTCCCATTGAGCAGCATAATATAATTGCATATCAAAAACATTTTCATCAAATCACAGTTTAGAATTATATATGTAAGAATTTAGAATAAATTATGTAAGAATTTAGAATAAATTATGTAAGAATTTAGAATAAATTATGTACAGCTTATATTGTTATTTATATTTTAACAAATCTTTTACTTGTATAAATGACTAATTTAAAGTAAATTTTTTCAAATTAATTTTTATTTCTAGTTTTTAGTAAAACATTTATTGAGATTATTTTTAAGTAAATTTTTTTCTTTATTTTTTTATTGCTATATATAATAAATAATTACAAAATGAAGATTGTACCAAATAAGTTTAATATCATAAAATTATTTTCAGCAACTTTACTCATCTGTGCGAACAGGTAACCTCGAAACATCACTTCGATTAATTTCATTGGGAGCTCAAACAAATTATTTTCATCCTGTAAGCATTTTTAATTTGTAATAATTTTTTCAAGTAAATTTTTATTGTAAACTAGCTTTTTTTTATTTTTATCTTACACTATGTGACAACAGTTCTTTTTTTATTTATTTATTGTAAACAGTGTGACAACAGCAGTTGTTTTTATTTTATTTGTGTTGTTAACAGCGTGACAACAGCAGTTGTTTTATTTTAATTTACTTTATTTTTATAGTGTAAAAACATAAAAATGTAAACATTTATGAAAATTTTATGATGATGTTTTTGTAGGAAAAAGGTAATACACCATTACATGTAGCAGCTGCTGCTGGGCAAGCAACACAATGCGAACTTCTTGTAGTACATGGTGCAGATGCTTCTGCGCTGGATATTAATGAGAAGACTCCAACTGTTGTTGCCATCGAAAATGGACATACTGAACTTGGCTTTAGACTAATTGAAACCATGTATGAATTAACTGATCGCTTAACATTTTACTTATGTGGAAGGCGTCCTGATCACAGAAATGGGATAAACTATCTGATTCCTGCTCTTCAAGATCGGTAATTTTTTTTTTATTACTTTGTAAGATCTTTTTTCATCCCTGCTTTTCAAGATTAGTCAACTTTTTTTCTTTCCTGATCTTTATGTAATCATAAAATCACATGATAGTCATTTTTCAATCAAGCTCAAGTTTTCTTATTTTACATTTTTACATAAGTTTATATTTAGAAAAAGTTATCTATAATCTTTTTAGTGGTATAGATGCTTCTTCATCAGCAAAAGAAGCTCGTTGTAAACTACAATCTTTAAACAATCGTTTATTTGAAGAACTTTGTTCAGATGTTTATGATGAAGTAGATCGACGAGAAAATGATGCTGGTATTTAATTTTTTTTACTGGATAAATAATTGCAATAGTTATAAAAAACTGACATTGAAAATTACTAAATTATTGAACATCTGCCAGTATTGAACATATATCTCTAATTATTATTTGCAATCTCTCTAAATATTGTTTGCAATATTAGTAAAGTATAAGGTGTATAGTAATAAGGCACTGACATAGTCAGTGCCTATTCTAGGAAAAATATTTGGGCTGCGGTACCCCCTTGTTTCGGCAGACTTTAGCAGAAAATCGGCCTTATTTTTACAAAATAAACAATATTTGCTGTATAAATGTTAAAAAAAAACCGTAGCAAAAATGTATAACAACGTAAAAGCAAAAAAATAAAGAAAAGGTCCTCAAATTTTAATTTGGGCTGCATCCAAATTTGGTCGACACTATTGAAAACTGTCTAGAATAGCACCTGATAGTAAACATTTGCGATAGTCTAGCCTTCCCAGGAAAGACGTGCAGTTTTTCATCTTGTACGACCATGAAAACGTTTTTCAAATTAGAGAATGTGATCACGGCTGTTTGCGCAAGTTTTATTATATGCGTTGCTGAAAAATTGTTTTAAATTTAATAACTCCGAAATTAAAGTAAACTTAAATAGGAAACAATAATAATAGTTTAAATAATTTGTGTGTTGTTTTTATTTTTGTTTTTTCTTAGTGGTTATTATTATCGACAACAAAATTCAGTAAGTCAAAACAAAAAAAAAATTAATAAAAAAAAACAGTTTTAAGCGTTAAAAAGGATGACTTTCCCATATTTTATGTATTTTTTCTTTTGAAAAGGAAAGAGAAAATAGGTATCGCCATCTGTTTGTAAAATATATTTGTATAATTATAATGTAACAAGTTTATATCAAGAGTCAAATTATACAATCACAATTTGCAAACTCTGGTAAAATATTAGGTCTTTGAAATTTTAGTTCATGCAAAGCTGTGTACTTTGTTTATAAGGAGCAAATTATTAAAAGTTTGCTAGCGAGAAAGTTACAAAAAACTAAACAAAAACAATAAACGTACGACTACAAAAGTAATAACACCTTTAGTCACTAACTGCATTATAAAAGTAATAAAACTATAATAGGGTTATTACATTTATAAAGCATTTATTATTTTTAAAGTTCATTCTTTGTTTAAACAACATTATTCATTCCAAACATTTATTAAAGTAGAAAAGCATCTAGAAAAAATAAAGTGGATATTCAAATATTATTAAAAATTTGAGGAACTTTCATAGATCACTTAAACAAAGTTATAAAAAAGTACTTTATAAAAAGTATAGCATTATGAAAAGCGTTACGTAAAAACGCGCGTTAATTTTAAAATCAACCAATAAAAATTTTTTATTGGTTAGTTTTAAAATTAACACGCCTTTTTACGGTCCATTAGTAACGTTTTTCATAATGCTAAACTTTTAATACGATACATTTTTATAAAGTTGTTTGTTACGTTTTTTTAAGTCATTTAAGTTTTAATATTATTGGAACATCCACTTTATTCTTCTAGATATTTTTCTACTTCAATTAAAATTTGGGAATACTAATGTTGCTTGAACAAAGAATGATTTTTAAAAGTTATAAGTGCGTTATAAAAGTAATAACACTATTATAGTGTTATTACTTTTGTAATGCAGTTAGTGACTAGAGTGTTATTACTTTTGTAATCGTAAGTTTATTGTTTTATTTTTTATTTTTTCGCTAACAAATTTAAGTTGATTCTCCCCTTAAAAACAAGGAGCACATTTTTCCAGATTTTGCGTTTCGCATTCGCTTAATTCAACCCTTGTTGTTACATTAAAATTATACAAATAAATTTTACAAACACATTGCAATTTGTATTTTTGCTATCCTCTTAAAAAAAAAATTAAGAAAAGGAAATCATTTTTTTTATTGTAGACTTCAAACTGTTTTTTTTTTTGCTTCGCCTTATCTAATTTTGTTGCTGAATGTAACTCTAAAGAAACAAAAATAAAAAAAGTACACAAATTATTTAAATTATTAATTTGTTTTTATTTTTTTCTATTTCAATCTCTTTTTATTTTGTTAGTTTTTTTTTTTTTTTTCGAAACTTTTTCAGCATTATTATAAAACTTGCAAACAGCTGTGTTCAAGTTCTCTAAAATAATATATTTGCGTGTGGTCATACAAGACGAAAAACCGCAAATTTGTTTTGTACAATATTCTTACAACTATTTAAGACATTTATTAAATTAAAGTAACACTTTAGGGTCGATAGTTTAAAGAGGTTAAATATAATATTATTTGTTTTAAAATGAAAAAAAAAATACTAATTTAACCCCATATATAAATTCTTGCCAATCAAGTTGGATCAAAAAAGGTTTTATGAAATATAATGTGATTATTAAATATGTGTTATTAAATATAATGTGTTATTAAATATTATGTGATAATATGGAAATTAAGGTTTTATGAAATAAAAAATAAATTTTTTGAAAAATAAGGTTTATTTTCATAATTTTATGAAAAATAACCAGGACATATTTTGAAAGTAGATATTCTAAAATTATATAAAGGGCCAAAGGTACCTATACCTGTGACCAGGCTGGGTAGTTATATTTTTGATTTCAATACATCTTTAGTTTAAACGATAGATAATTGCAGTGTTAAAGTAAAATTTGCTTATTGAACAATTAGTAATAATAGTTGCGCTAAAATTTAAAATCAGGTTAAACCTTAGCATTACATGGTTAAACATGAGAAATATATTTTATATATAGGCTAGCTTATTTTAGGTGGGCATGCTTTTAATGAAGACTGCATCTGTCAAGTGATAAAGTCAATTGTTATATAACTAATTAACTAAATTTTTAAGATTCAAGCAAAGTTAGATAAAAGTAAAGATTTTTAATGTTTTATTGCCAGTTGTCGCTGTATTTCTAATACCTGAACAAAACTTATAAAACATTGTCTAAATTTATTTTGATTAATTTGGTTATATTAGTTTGTTTTAATTTTTTTTCATTTACCTCATTAAAACAATAGACAAGTTTTTCTCATGTAAAATTGCTCTTTGCATACGTAAAATGATTTTTGCCTGACGCTTTATAACAAGGGCCATAGTTGTAATATATATATAATAGAATGTACTAATGTAGTAATACTGGAATTGTGTATAATTAACAGTTGTATTTCATTTTTTAACACAGTATGGCTAGCCACTCAGCATCACAGAAAGTTGGTCAGTGATACTGCAGTTCCCTTCCTTCCAGTTAATCCTTCATTTTCATCTACAAGGAACCAGGTAAATTCTTTTTCACACAATGGGAATAAATTTTCAAACAAAATTTTTTTAAACTGTTACTATTATTTTGAAACTGTTGAGTTTTTAAACATTTAAACTTAAACAGGTCTTACAAACAGTTTAAAGGGGGCCGATGTATGGCACCTATTTTGACCCCTGTATATATATGTATACACACACACACACATAGAGATGTGACGCGTTTTTTTGGTTCTTGTTTTTTTGGTTCTTGTTTTTTTGGTTTTTTTGGTCGTTTTTTTGGAAAAAAAAACATAGGGGTCCGTTTTTTTGGTTTTTTTGGGAAATAATCAAAAATTCATTGTTTAAGTTACTAAATTTAACTTTAATGGCAATATCTTAATTCATATTTTAATTTCTGATTTAAATAGGACAATAAATACTGAAATTTACTGAATTAATTTTTGTTTTGGTATATTAACACGGTTAAAGGTTATCACGGTTGAAGCAGTCTTGTATAAAAACTTCTTTGATAATTTTATCTTCCTCAACTTTATCTTTACTGTTTTTAGTGTATATTGACACAATAAACATTTATTTACATTTATTATATTTAACAAAATTTAACAACTAATGAATGAGACTTAGCATAATAAAGAGTCGAGAATGAGTTTTTGTTAATGGAACTAAAGGTAATAACTATTTTGAGCAGCCGCCATGATAGAATTTGTAGGAAAGAGAAAGAGATGCAACTTTACGACAATGGGAAAGAGGCTCAAGCTTAGCAGATAGAGCTTGTTTAGAAGAAAAAGGGCATCATAAGAAGAACCAGCCCAAATATGACAACAACATTCCATACAGGGACAGAAAGATATTTGTAGAGGTAGAGAATGGAATCAAGAAAACAACGATAATGATAAAGGGATGCTAATTTAGCAATCAATTGTATATTTTGTGTACATGAATGGTTAGTAGCAAATAATATTCCAAGAAGATGTAAAAAAGAAGACTAAGTAAGAGGGTTACCATTAATTAATATAGGAATGTCAACAGTATTGTGGTAGTTGTTTGCAGTAAATAACTGAGTTTAGTTAGAAATAAAATTTATATGCTAAAATATGTGAGCCCCAATCTGTTACAGAAGTAAGATCAGATACAAAATTGGCTGCCTATTCTAAGTGATCAAAAAGAGAAGACTTTTTGTCAAGACAGGAGTAAAAACTTTAGTCATCAGCAAAAAGAGCTACTATAGATGTAGGGTTGTCAGGAAGATCAATAATGTAGATAAGAAACAAAACAGACCAAGAATAGAACCTTGAGATTAACCCCAGAAGTTACTGGAAATAAATAAGTAGGCATTTGACGATGATTATAATAAAGCAGTTAGAAAGAAATGATTTAATAATCCCAGATACACAATTTGAAGTTTCAAGTCTAATTAAAGTTTAATTGTTCAATATTTAGTTCATACTTAAGCTCAATTTCTATTCAACAGGTCCCTAATATTGTTTAAATGGTCTCTAAAATGTTTACATTAAAAAAGTCAACTTATTACTCAAATAAAGAGAAATTTTATATAAATCTTTTCTGAATTAGAATCTAAAAATAGATTAACACAAAAAATACTGACAAAAAATAGATTAAGACAAAAAATACTTTAACACTGAGTAGTGATTTTTAAAGCACCATAATATCTATATATACATACATATATATATATATATAAAGAGAAATGGATATCTTTAAATTATTAAGTAAATTTTTTTTTCTTGTTGGTAATCAACAGGAAGAACAAAAAGAATTATGATTAGGCTCTCCATACAGGGGGCAGAAATAAAGCCTTAGTCACCTATTAAACCTCTAAACCAAATTAGTAAAATGGAAAAAGATAAACAATTCTTTTGCCATAAGATTATGTCTAAAAATTGAACTTAAAAAACAGAGCATATTAAAGAATTTTGCAAGTGTTCTGATATAGTGCTATATGAAAATATTTAGATGAATAAATGTAATTAGAAAAAAAAAATGCTGTTAAAAAATTAATTACAAATAAATAAATTACGAATCATCAGGTGAATGGGAATTTCCGTAAATAATAATAATTAAAAAGTTTTTAAATTTTCCTTGAAACTAAGTTCAGTATAGGGCTTTTTTTTAATGGGCATACTAGCAATAACTCTTTTTTTGATATAACAAACAAACAATGTAAGACTTAATTACTACATAATATACAAATGCTTAATTAAGTTAATAATCTTGATAGATAGCTTATTTTTTTGAGCATTTTAAGTCTGATATCAAATTTGCATGGTGTTATACATTAATGTATTTACATTATCAAAATTAAAATGGTAACTTTTTTATAGAATAAGAATAGTTTTTATATATATTATGAGAGTATCACAGTTGTTTGTACAATAAAACAGAAAATAAACATTTTCATACAGTATACCTAAATATATAACTAACTTAAAGCTAATTTAAATTTTTTATAAAATTTTTTTGTTAAACTGGTGTTTATACATCTAATTGTGCCTTTAATGGCCAAATACTAAAATTTATACTAGATTAAAGGAAAACTAGTCCTAAATTTATGTAAAAAAAAACTGAAAAATTGTTTAAAAAAAGCAATACAACACCAAAAAAACCAAAAAAACATCAAAAAAACCAAAAAAACACGTTTTTTTGACCCAAAAAAACGCCAAAGGAAAAAAACGCGTTTTTTTGCAACTCTACACACACATACACATATTTATATATATATATATATATATATATATATATATATATATATATATATATATATATATATATATATATATATATATATATAGTGTGTGTGTATATATATATATATATATATATATATATATATATATATATATATATATATATATACATGTGTATATATGTATATATATATACATGTGTATATATGTATATATATACACATGTACATACATATATCAAGCCTTCTCAGGAGACATTTGTGGTTGCACACCTTAAATGACCATACATATAATATTTTGTTTTTACAACTTAGCCATGGCTCCCTGCATGTTTAAAGTTAGTGTGTTTAAAAAATAAACAAACTATAAACAGAAAATAAAAATAATAGCTAAAAAATAATACAAAACTAAATTGAAAAAATTAAAATCTTGAAAAATATTAAAATAAATAAAAAATAAATCAGAAACAATAAAAGCATAAATTTAGTATATGTTTTTATTTTAATTTAAAAGTGTTTCACTTCAGTTTAGAAAAAATTCATTAAATCCAAAGCTTAATTACTTTGAAACTTAATTATTTAAAGATTTGAAACTTTAATATTTTCTAATCTACAAAGCAAATAAAACATTAAAAAAATTATTTGTTAGTAGAATTTAAACCCTCGACCATAAACTATATAAAAGTTGCGTTATCTGAAATATCAGCTTTCAATGCTTTTAACTTTATTAAGTTTGAACTATTAATTAGTTATTATTTAACTTCTAAATCAATATATATATAAAAAAAAAGTTTCTTTTTAAAAAAAAAATAATGTTTCCTAAAAAAGTGACAAAAAATATGGACTTACGAGGCTGCTCGAAACCCTTCCAACTTACATTTTGTATTTATTATAATGTTCGATGAATGATTATGTATACGTTACGTAAATTGCAACTGTAACTTCAGAAGCTTTTCTAAAATCTGTACTCTTCCATGTTTTTATTTGGTTTTACAAAAAGTATATTGTCTTTTTATAATATTTTAATTGTCACATGATTGGTGTCTTGAACTCAGTGTCTAGAATATAGAAAAATGTCTTCATCATGTACTAAAACTCATAGGAATAAAAGGCGTTTGATTAAATTATCAAGTCTGTAGATAGCAGCGTATATTATGAAGACTATTTGGCCTACAATAAAATAGAGAGGGCAAGCTTCGACTGAAACAAAAAAGCTAGTTTTTCTTGGTTAATTTGCATTTATTTTTTTGTTTTAATCAAAAAAATTTAGCCCAAACGTTTTTTTTTATCAATCTCCTTAATATGAAAACAATATGTCTCGGACGTTTAGGATCGCTTTAAAACAAAGTGGTAAATTAAAATGGTACAAATAAGCTAAATCGATGACTATAATTCTTTAAACTATATTATAATGGGCAATTGTGAATATATATTGTCAGTATTATATTGTTTTTTATATAATATTATTTTTTGAAATAATTAGTAAATAATCAACTTCATTAGGTATGTGAAATAAAGTTTTTAAACAAATAAAACATTAGATTTTTATATTATTGGAAAGTCTTTGAAAACAGTATTTTAATGGTGAAAAAATTTTAAAAATTGAACAATTCTACAAAAAGTTATAGCATTTTAATACTAAATTTTTGATATATGGATTTGTTGAAGAAATATCAAAAGAAAAGTCTTAAAAAGGAGAATCAAGATACATAAAAGATGTATGCGGGTCATCTATACCACCATTAAAAGGCGTCTAGAACACCCTTTAGTATGTTCAAAACAAGGTCTTTTTAAAAAAAATGTTAATTTTTTTTCGAAAGTTTGAATTTTTTTGTATTTTTTAATATAATTTACCAGCCAACCAATAAATGTGATTCAGATACTTTGGGTTGGATGGGTGGAAGCCAACCTGGCTTTAGGTGGTAGTAGATGACCCATTGCCACTGCCAAATCATTGTATTTTTATATATAAATGTATAACATTTAGTGTAAAAAAAGAAATGTTTTTGAGATAATTACATACTAAGTGTGTAAAAAGGGTGCAACAAGGAATATTTAGCACAATCTGTCCTCCCCCTCCCCCACTTTTATTTCAGGTAGACGGGGGGTGAGGGGGGGAGAGGGCAAGAAAGGGAGGAAGGTTAAATTATAAAATTAAAATTTTTTTTTGTTTAAAAATATTATTTATAGTAAAACACAAACTTTTTTTACAAACAAATTATGAAACAAATTAATATAAATGTTAGAAAACAATTTATCAATCATGTAAAAAAATATAATATACAAAAAGACAAATATAAACAAATATATATACAAATATATATTAAAAAAAATATACAAATATAAGCTAAAATAAAACTATATATATATATATATATATATATATATATATATATATATATATATATATATATATATATATATATATATACATATATATATATATATATATATATATATACACACTATGCATGCACCTACCAATAGGTGTATCTAGATTCACCTAAAAGTGTATCTACATACACATATTAATAAGTGCATGTATAATATAGTATATATAGTGGTTAACAACAAGGTTTGTTCTCCTGCCTCTTCTGCCACCCCTCCTGCCACCAGGATTCTGAAATTTAAAATGATGCAAGTCTTTGTCTCCATTCTGGGCCCATATATGAAAGGCCCGATTTGATTTAGCCCCAGGGTGGTTTTGGTGCCAAATACGAAAATCACTCCTTGACAAATCTATATTAAGTAAAAGCAAAACTTTAGTAAAATAATCAAAAAATGAAAATAAAGAAAAAAATGTTAAAAAATTACTTTGGAGGTTTTCTTCAGAATTGTTGGCACCACGTGGTAGACATGGTGATGATGCCAATGAAGTTGGTAAATCTGAAAAAAGTCAGTAACTTTAGTAAAATTACTAAAATTTTATATTGACCTCTCTTTTAGACACCAGTGATTTTTAACTTTTTTTCGAAATTGCAATTACTTCAAGCTAAAGTACCTTCTTTAGACCATAAAAAAGTTATGAGCAAAATATAAAAGCTTCAGGTATTTCCGATTCTATCTTATTTGGACTTATATTTATCAAATATTATCATTAAAAAGTAAAAACTTTAAGAGGTCACACAATAAATGTTTGAAATGTTAATGCACAAAAACTTTTATGAGTGTATTGTTTATAAGGATAAGTTGTGTAAAAAATTTTAAACTAAATTTTTAAGCTTGTTTATAGGGTATTGGAAAAATAATTATCATAACTTAAACAATAGGCGGTTTACAATAATCATTAGCTGTTAACTGAAAAACGTATTTAAACATAAACAACAATGTTATTTTGTTACAGCACTTTTTATCAGGATTTATTCTAATATACAGAAGCAAAAGAAGAAAACTATTTTTACGGGTGGTGACTAGATGGCAGGGCAGGTGTTAACAATCCTCTCTCCCCCCTCCCCCACTCACCCAAAAAACAAGATTTTATTATGCCCCTTTTCATTTTGTTGACATTTTATTCAGCAAGTGAACTACTACTAAATATTTTATACTTTTACTGCTGAACCAAATTAATATTAATAATAAACAAACATATTACCAAATAGGTTTATTTAAAGAAATGATAACAAATTACAACATATATTCTTTCTTTGTTCTAAAATATTTTTGTTTCTTTTGAATTTGGCATTTAGCTTAAATAAAAGCATTTCTTTTCTTGAGGTTAATAAATTTTCCGCTAGCATCAGAAGTCATTTTCACTGCTCTTTTAACTATTTGGGAGTGGCACGGAAAGTTGGGAGCCTTTCCCTGATTTGGAATCATATTCAAAAGCTCCTCATTTGATATATCTTCCACACAAGGGGGCTCAAAACAGTCTATATCATACAAATTTATTAATTTTGACCAGTTTTTACATTTACAATCAACTAGAATGGCATTAACCCTAATACTATCTTTTAATCCATTTTTAGGATCCTTAGTTTGGGTTTTTCTTGTTTCCAAAATCTTAACAACAGCAATTGTTCTATAAACCTGTTCTTGAGAATAAGTAGAGCAGCAATAAAGTTCTCAGGTTGGACACAAAAAGAGTTTCTATAAATTATGGGCAATGTAATATTTTGAACTTCAGTATCCAACTTCAAAATCCACTAAATAAATTGGAAAATGAGTTTAGGACCCTCTGTGAAACTCTAACTTTTTGATATTAAACCACATAGGAGTATATACTGTTTGAATATATTCAACAAAGCTTTTGAGCTCTACTGGGATTGATTGTTTTTGTGTGTAGTGCCAAAATCCGTACTGCTGTTGCCAGCAGTACAGGATCTTGGCACTATACAATTGTATAATTTAATAGTAAATTATATATTAATAAATATATAATTACATAAACTGCAAACAAACAAAATAAAAGGAAAAATATTAGGAGAAAATGATTTACAAAACAACACACCTATTTTTTTTTTCAGATACTTATTGTCTGAAAACCCTCTAGAAATTCCAATACTGTATTCCAGTAGCATTCTCTGGTCAGCAGAGAGGTCTTTAATGACACACAGAGGGGGATATTCAACGTCTGTCTCAACTTGTATGAAGTCAACAGTTAAATTTAAATGAATTGGATTTGTCAAAGATTTTCCAACTGGTCCTTTAAAATATTATTATTATTATTATTATTATTATTATTATTGTTATTATTATTATTATTTGATCAAGTATATTAATATTAATAGTTATAACTTTTTACTAAAAAAAATAATTTTTAATTATGCTTATCAGAATAAAGTAAAACAGCAATAAAACTCTTAAGTAAAAAATAGAATTTCTATAAATTTTAATAATGTTGCTAAATAATAATCGGGTAATCTAAATAATAATATTATCAATTGAATGTAAAATAATATTATTATTTAGATTACCCTAATAATTATTTGAGAAAAACCATCAAGTTTAGAAATTAAATGACGCAATGGTAACTCGTTAACATGCAGAAGTCAGCCAATTAAATGAATTCTTCTTTTCAATATTCTTTCAAGACAAGCAACTAAACCATACCTAAAATGATATAGTGATATGAATATATTTAACTCAAATAAAAGTTTATATGTTATCTTTTTTTATTTTTCAGACTGGTAATTTTAAAGAAAAAATATACCTGTATTAACACTTGTATTGTCCAAAATTATTGCCTGGATACTTTTATCACTCTTAAACTCCTTGAGAACATCACAGGTAAATTCAGCAAGATCTTTTCCTTTACCTTTTTCTTTAGCTACATCTATGTGCTTTAGATATTGACCTTTCAACTCGCCTTGTCAAATTCAAACATTTTTGTTAGTAAAAAATAAAATTAAAAAAAATAAATAAATACCAAGACAAAAAAGATAACGTTGGCCTTTACCTGATTCAATTGTGAATGTCAAGTGGTCTACAGTGCTGGTAGATTTACAAAGTTTTATTTCACCATCAATATCTCTCTGTTCATAAACCAATGAGTTTTTATTATGTTTGCTATCCAAACCAATTTCCTTTATATTTGAAACTTTAGATTGCTCATAACTAGCATTAAAACATACTCGTTATTTCTCTCTCTTCATTTTACTTGGATCAATTACATCATTTAGATGTAGATAACCAATATCTTGAAGTAGAGCATTAGCTACGGCGTCAGCTGCTTCATCTGATATTCCATATCCAATTACCTCTAAAGCAAATTTGGGATAGTGGGTAGTGTTATAGTACTTTGATCTAGTCTGATTTAATGATGAAATTGAAGTTTTATTCTGTACTTATAGAAAAAAATACAACAAAACTTCCAGAAATTAAAAATCATAACAATGAAATTTTACATTTAATTGTATTAACATTTAAGATGCTCTTATTAACTTTAGAGCATTATATTAAAAGAATTAAGAAATTTAAGAATATATATAGTTTTTATCATACAATCAAAGTTTACAGGTCACAATTTATTACCTGATCTGAATCTATGATTGTGTCAAACTCTTTAATATAAATTTCTTCATCAGAAGCTTTTGTTTGCTTTGTTTTTTTCGAGGTAGGTGATAAAACAGAGTTATCAATACCTCCTATTTGAAACTTTCCTTTAGTACCAATTTTCTCCCTTTGGTCTTTTATATAGGAGCGCTCTTCCAAAGAAACCTAAATAATAATTTGTGGTTTTAAATATTATTTTCAATTAATTTGTGTAAAACGTGTTATTATCTAAAAATATAAAAAAAATAAATAAAATATAAAAAAGTCTATCAAATAAAAATTAAATAAATTATTTAAAGTTTAATTTAAAATAAATTACTTTAAATTTGAATAACTTTTTTACTACCAACACAACTACAGTAAAGATGCACATTTGAACAACCTGAGCATTTGATATTCCTATCATCACAAGGAAAAACTTCAAGCATGCAGTTACATGCTAGCAGATCAAAAAGTTTTTATTTATTTTTTTCCAACAATTTTTTGGTCAAAGGTTTAATTTTATTTCCATTCCAAGAAATAACATTATTATAAAATCTTAAAAGTTTAACAATCAAACTTTTTTCAGGTAACAAAACTAATTTGGAATTGCAATTAAACCATATTTCTTTTAAACTACAAAGTGTTCTTTGAATAATAACATTTTTGTCCTAAATACAATCTAAATCTTATAATTTGTAGAAAAGTCTTGCTACATTAACATAAGTTACTAGATCTGTAATAGGAAGATCAGAAGGGCTACCACCATATAAATTAGACCGTCTAGTTTTTCTTTCAGGAGGCATTTTTGTATTGTATTAAATTAAGTTTGATAATATATATTATAGATTTTATAACTCCTTAAAAATAATAGTAAAACGCTTTTGCAAGGTTTAATCTACAATTTGATACTCTGCTTTTTGGTTTGTTTACATTTTTTTAAGGCCGGATGTGATAATAAACAGGGTGTCAACTCTAAATAAACTTGAAAAAATGTATAAGACAATTAAAAAAAAAACGATTGAATTACTGGAAAATGTATTTTTCATAATCATTGAATCAATGATGCACAAAAAATATGTTTTTTAGTTTCTTTAGCATGCTTTTCAAAGTAGTCCTTTCAAGTTCTCTCAGTTTATCCAGCAGAGTAAACACCCTGATATATCCAATAAAAATTGCGACTTATAAGAAATCTTTTAAGTTGGAATTTTAATGCTTATTTTTAAAATAAGATAGATTCTACTCAACTTTAAAAGTTACTTTTTTCGCCAAAATTCCTATTTTTTTATAAGGTAATTACTCCAGCTTGAAGTAATAAATTTCCAGAAATTGCTGGTGTCTACTGTCTATACATCTTAAAAAAAACAAATAAAGTAAGAAATTAATAAAATATTGCAACTAATTTGTTCTGCAGCAGCTAAATTAAAAAATATTTTTTAGCTCTTTTAAAAACATATCTTTCTAATGAATTTAATAAAATAATTAAAATTCTACCAAGTACTTCTTTTCTTTTAGCTAAAAATAAAACTTCCTATTTTAAATTATTTTTATTTAGTGTAATGCAAGAAAAACCAATTTTATAATTTAATAAAGATATATTTACCAAGTTTCTCCCTTTTGCGAGCTAAAAGATATATATGTTAATGAAACATTACAGCATGTCACAGCTTTTTAATTTGGAACAAACACTAGTTACTGATTCTAAAATATTTTTTACGACACGAGCTGCATGAGTAAAAATCTGAATAAATAATATTGATAAACATTTTATCATTATATGATTTTCATAATCTGTCCATCCAGGCATTTGATCCAGGACAATGACCTGACATTTATCTTTAGATAGTGAACACTATTAATGTGAACACATTCTTGTGTTGTAGCGTCAAATCCTATAGTAAGATGATTGTTTTGAATAACCCATTTTGCTGATTGCATCTCTGATATAATGGCTAGTTCACTATTTGCTCAACAGTACTGCGATGGAGAATATTAGTAAAAGTAACACCAATTTATTCCCCTATTTTCCTTATCAGCAATAGAATGTTACCTGTTGAGAAATTACATAATAACATGTTATAAACTATCATTCTCATATGTAGTGAATGTGTATTTTTATCTTCTGAAATTTTTAAATTTGTAATTTCATCCTCCTCCATCAAAAACATATCATTTTCCAAACAAGAAATCACTCTGTTATTTGCCTTAATATCATCATTATAATTGAGTTTTATTTGCCTTAGCTTTTGCTTTTCATTTAGTTTTAATGTCTTTTTTGTAGCCTTCAAACTACGAATATGGTGAATGTAGTATTTTGTTTTAATTTTTTTCTTCAAGTCTCTGATTTCTGCCCTTAAAGCTTTGATAATTTCTTCTTTTCTTTTAATATTTTTCCTTAAAACCCTTATTTTATAAGGCATGCTTTTTAACTTAGTTTTAACTATAGCTCCTGTGTTCTTTGGAAAAGCTTTGGAAAAGTTAGCTAACTGAGAAGACAAATAAGATAATCAAGATTTTTTTTTTTTCCTTAGGAGCAAATTTTCTAGAAACATGCTTATCTAATGCCTTTGTGCAATAAACTGCAGATGTTGATGGTTCACTAGTCAATGATAATGAGACTACTGACGAATATGTAAAAGTGTGGACTTTAAACTACTTTGAGCAGTTTGAAATTAATAACACATTCAAAAAGATGAGGAATAAACATTAAAGACTCATTACAAAATTCAATAAAATGTCCACACACCACACAAGTTTTTTGCCCAAACTTGTGATTTTTTTACAATATGCATTATATGAGTTTAACTAGTTATGAGATTTTATTGTTTTGCAACTTGTTAAGTACTTTTTTGAAATGAGTTACCATTGCTTGTAAATATAAAAAGTATATGCCCATTCCTATAAATAGTGTTGCTATCTGTACTATCAATGTTTATTTGTGAAGGTAATGCAAAAGTAGAAGTTAAATCCTTTTTAGCTTTACCATAAAAAAAACACATTTTTTTGGGTCCCATGACGACTACAAAAAAAAAATATTAATAAATAAAAACATAGAGCTAAAATAAAAAAACAAAAACTTACGCTAAAAAAGCTAATTTTAAAAAGCTATGAGTAATAAAAAAGAATTATAAACAGTTGCAAATAGTTTTAAAAAATGAACCGACATACCTTGGGTTAAAGCTTGAGGTTTAATCAACAACTAAGTTTTTAACAACAGTGGAGTCAAAAAAATGTTAGATACTTGAAAAAAAAAAAAACGCAAAAAAAGTTCAACTCCTACTTTTTAAATATCTATGTTGATATCAAATTCTAAAAAATAAGACCACTAAACATGTTAGCATATCACTAATGCAAAACAAACTCAAAAAAACGTGGCACAGAATTTGGCCAAAAAATGTTTCCATAAAGCTTAATTAATAAGTTGATAAGTTGATTGATACATAAAGATAAGGATTGAATAGCGTTCATATATAAACTGAAAATCAAAGATTGACTAGTGTTTAATGTATTATCTTATTGTATTTTGTTTATTTAACTATTTTGTTATGTATGTGTTATTATTTTGCTACTTTTGTATTGCTGTTTTAGGGTAGACAGAAATTAGCTCGTTTCAACGCATTAGAGTTTGCAACACTCATTGTTGATATTTTACATGATGCAAAGAGGCGAGAAGGTCTAAATGTTGATTCTAACAGCCAATCAGCAGGTTTTGTAGTACTTTCCCAATATAATTTTTCCAGAATATATGACATAAAATAAGTTTTACTTTGAATATTAGATTTTGTTATTTATTTTATACAGAGCAGTACGATGTAAATAAAAAACTTTATACATACCTTTATCACTTCAGAATGTTTTTTTATATAGTTGAGTATAAGTAAAGAATAAACTTTTTTCGAACAAAAGAGTACAATGTAAATAAAAAACTTTTTTTCAAACAACAGAGTACAAAGCTTTATAACTAAAAAATGTTTTTTTTTTTTTATATATAAAGAAATAGTTGAGTACAATGTAAATAATAAACTTTTTTTTGAACAACAGAGTACAAAGTAAATAATAAACGTTTTTATGAACAACAGAGTAAAAAGTAAATTAATCTTTTTTCCAACAACAATTTAAATAATAAACTTTTTTCAAAGCATACAAAATAACAAAATTTTTTGAACTACAAGTACTAAGTAAACAATAAACATAATACATAGCTTTATCACTACAGAATATTTTTTGTACAGGAATAGTTGAAAAATTAAAACCCATGGTTGACCCTGATTATGATGAAATTATGGAAGATAACAAAGAAGTAAGAATTTATTTTTAATGTTTTATGTTTCTTTATTTCAATTTTAAGTATTACTTAATTTCTATATGTTTGTATTTATTTGACTTCTATTTGTTTAATTTAAGTTTTTTTTTAAGTTGAAATAAAATTAAAATTGATTTATTAACTTATTAAAACACTGTAAAGTTGTGGTAAAGTTGTTTCTTTTAAGAGTTATTTTCACTAACAGCAGGCTACCAGTGATGATGCTTCTTCTTTAACAACTATTAATGATGAAGCTTTCATCGATACTAACCGAACTTTGCTAACTAATTCTACTGAGCTTGGTTGTAATCCACTAATAAATAATGAGGTAATTGAAAACAATATACTTAAATGGTTTTAATCCACTAATAATAATTAATTTCTTATAAGTAATTTTTTTAAATTTCTTTAAAAGGTGTTTTTATTAACTTCAGCTAATGTTGTGTAGATTAACAATTTATTCTGCTTTATCATAGTTTCTATTAATTTAAGCCAACATTGTGTAGATAATTTATTTTGCTGTGCAACGGTCTTGTTTTTAAAGGTTTGTGTTTTAGTTGTTGGATAAAAAAAAGTATTTTTTTTAAAAACCAGAGCAGCTTTCTTGACTGTAGTAGCCCTTGGTCTTACAGAGGTGATCACTTTTATATTTTTGATAATAATTAAAAAAAAAAATCATTGTTTACAGATATATAGAACTCAGGAACTTCTGATAATATGAATACGCTAATTTAATATTAGTCGAGTTACGTCATTTTCTAGGCTTTTCTATTTTAAAGTAGTTTCTAGGCTTTTCTATACGCGGTTTTTTTTTAAAATTTTATTTACTAACAGCGTGTATTACGGGTTGCTTACTGCTAGTTAAAATGGATCTTGTAAGTTATCTTTGAAAAAAACTTAATATTAGTTCAGAACAACTGGTTCTTCTAATGACGCTCTAAGGTCCAAAAATCCATTGTAAACAGTTAGATATATGCAAAGCTTGAGCCTCTCAACCTTTTGTTGTAAAGTTTTATCTCTTTCTCTTTTTTACAAATACTATCATGGTTTCTGATAAAAGGAGCTATTATATCAACTTATGATCAACATGATCATCCTGTTACTGATAACTTATGATTCAGTACAACCTGTCTCGTGTCTTGCTGCCTTGTAGGATTTGTTAACATAAACCTGTAAAATTGTTTCCTAGCATTGGTAGGATAATAAAGATTATATCATATATAAAGACTCTACTCATAAATTTGTTTGACCGGTCATTCAGCTAAGTTTCATTTTACTGTATCTCTCTCTGCATATATTTATTAAAACATTTATTTATCTAATTTTTTTCCTTGCTCTTCAACCCTTTGAAACTCTCTCCTATCATCATGTTTTTTTGACTCATACAACCTTCAACATTTTAAGTCTTCTGTAAACCGTTTCCTTTCTATTCTGTTCTTTTTTTCTAGTTACTCCCAACTTAATTGTGGTTTCTTGCAGCCTTGTTGGGAGTGAATCAGAATAAACCAAAAAAAAAAACTGTATTTATTTGTGCCACAATGACATTTTTCTCTTGGCCTATAAGTAATTTCAAAATATAATTTTAGTTCCTTGAAATTTTTTTTTTTAACTTGCGCTAACAGCATTTTTTACTAATTTTGAAATTTTGACAGGTTATCAAAATATCTGATACTGGTATTTATACAATATATTTAATAGTTAATCATATAATCGTAACAATTTGTGATTTGTGACATTAAATTCTTATTGTTAGCTTGTATTTATCCACTTATATATTGATATAAAAATAATTTTAAATTACAACAAAATCATTTAAATTGAGAAATAACTAAAAACTATAAGTGTTATTAATAATGTACAATAGGTTTTATAATAATAATACAATACTGTTGAAAATAATATTATACTAACGCCATGTTAAATCTATTAGAGACAAAACAAGAAAGTCAAATATACTCAATTTAGTCTAGCTTAGTTTTAAATAAGTTAAAATTTTAACTTCTGTTGTCTCAAAAGGCAATCTATTTCGGAATTTGAACATACTGTTTGTTTTTTTTTAAATCCCTTATAATTGCAGTTTGAATATTTTTTGTCAGCGCATAAATTATGTTCATTAATTCAAATATTTGAAGATGAACTTGAAACATTTAAAGAGCATAAGTGCTTTTGCGGTATTTTCCAATATTATATATACCATTTATACAATTGTATGAGATCATCTTGTATGCATCGGTGTTTTAAGGATGTCAATTTTTTATTTAGTCTTTCATTGTATGAGAATTGATGTAACACCGGTACCTATTTTGTTTCTCCTTTTTAAATATTTTCTAATATATTTATATTTCCAGTTTTTTTAAATATGACATAAAATAATAATTTAAACTAATATTTTATCAAAAACCTTTTATATATTTACCTCTGTACAATGTACATTGTACATTCAGTTTATACAGTCAGTTTATAAAAAGTTTAAGTAAAATAAAATCTTTAACTCTAGCTAAAAAGTAATTAATTTTTTTTTTTTTACATTTTATTTATTGACTTTTTTTTTTCTTTTTTTTAAACCAATAGAAATTTTTAATTTAGACATCAAAAATTTAAAATAGTTGAACATATAATTATTAGTTGTTACTACTATTTAGTTGTGGAGGTAGTTGTATTACTCACTGATTTCATGACATATCAGTGATGACTTATCAGTAATGACATATCAGTAATGACTTATCAGTGTTGACTTATCAGTAATGACATATCAGTAATGACTTATCAGTGTTGACAAATCTAAAGATTGCTGATAAAAAACTGTTAAAAACATTGTATTTTTAATAAAATCCTGTAACAAATACAGGTCAAATATAGGTCATTAAAACATAATGGGTTCATAATCGATAAAGTTTTTACAAATTAAAATTACAAAATTTATATGTATTTTATTATTTTGTTTAATATGTTCTATTGACTCTAAAAAATGAAATCATTAAGTTTAATTTTACAATTTTCATTGCGAGATTTTAAAAATATAAAAATACCAAATCATTTTTTTAATACTCAAGAACTTATTAAAATTCTTTATAATTTTTTACAAGGCCTGCAGAGCTGTGAAGTCATTAGCTTTTGCTAATGAAAAAAAAATTAAAAATGAAATTAAAACAGAAAATGGAATTAAAACAGTAAGAAATAGTCCGTATAAAAGCCTAACCTTTAGGAGCCAGATCTGATAATAAATAGCTGTGATCATAAACTAATTATTGGTAAATTCGCTTTAATTGTCTATACAACTAAAATTAAGAGTAAAATTAACTCTTGAATTGGAAGAGTTGCTTAGATTTCAATATCAACTTTATATCTTTTTCTTTCATACCCTTGGAAATAATATTGTCAGGCTCTATGCATAACACTTAAAAATTGACTGACCTGACAAATGAAGTATAGATATATAGCTACAATAATTGTCATAGCTGTAATAATTTCCATAACTATAATTGTATGTGATTAAGCACTAGGTAGATTATCATTTCCCCCTACCTCTCAAAAAGTCTCAATTTTTGTTAACTGCCTCATCAACTGGAAATAAAGAAAAGTGTTGGCCTTTGAGAATGACTTTAATAAAGGGGTTAGAAAGAAAAGATTTGATATTCTCAAAAACTTTTCCAGATATACAATACGAAACAGTAATATGGAGAAGACCAACATGGAACTGGAGTTAAAATTCAAAAATCACTGCAAGCCCCAAGCTTTCACAGAAGTGAGATCAGATTAATAATTAGATGCCTGTTCTAAGCTATCAAAAAGAGAAGACTTTTTGACATGAATATAGTTGAGTTACCAGTCAATAGACCCACTTCAGATGTCAAGAAGATCGTTAATATAAATAAGAAGCAAAACAGGACCAAGAATAGAACTTTGAGGTACCCTAGAAGTTATTGGAAACGAAGAAGAGTTATTGCCTTTAAGGATGAATTTAATAAAGCAGTTAAAAAAAATTAATAATTGCAAAAATTTTACAAAATACACTGTATAAAGCAGGGTTATGGAGAAGACCAGTTTGCCACACTTTATTAAAAGCTTTGTCAAGAGCAATAGCCCTAGCCTTGCCACCTCCATCTAATGCAAGATAAATTCTTTTAGTCTTAGCAGTTAACAAGCTAGCTGTAGAACAGAAAGATTGGAATCCATATTGATTGTCAGAGAATAAGTGTTAGACTCCTAATGGGATGTTAGAAATTAGTTGGTCAAAAACTCAAAGATCTTGCTAATACTAAAGAGAAGATTGATAGTTGGAGGGGTCATAATGTACTCCAGAGTTTTTAAAATAGAATTACTGATGCGATTTTGCAGCAGGCAAGAAAACAAGATTCAGTCAAGCATTTATTAAATAGTTTAAAGAGAGTTAATGGGAGAGTTCTGAAGAACACTTTTGTAAGACTATGACTGGACCAAAAGCTGTCGTCTGAACCAAAAGCTGTAAAAGAGTTTAATTGAGAATTGACTTTGACAACAAAAACCTGAGTAATTTGGAAGTCTAACAATTGGTTAATCTGTAAATCTGGAATGGCAAGAAGAGAATGATGGTCAATAAAGAGGGCTGCAACGAAGGTCAGTAGAATGTTTCTACTTACCTCTAAAATAACCTAATAATAATGATGTCTTAAGCAAAGTAACAATATCAAAAAACAACTAAGTTGATCTTTATTTTATTGCAGATGCATTTGCTGTCATAGAAACAAAACTCATAAGAAGTATCGCTCACACCATCTCAGGAAAACACTTTAAATCCCTATTTTTTAGGTTTCTTGAAAGATATTGCCTCTGAGGATTCTTGCCCTTTTTAGACAACTCTCTCTTGTCAAGTTCAACAAATAACAAATTTTGTAGTAACTCGTATTGTGGGGTATCATCCCTGTCTGATCATCCCCTAACTATCTGTTACTGTTTGCTTTTGTTATTAAAATGTCCAACTTTGCTAAGGTTGGTGAAACAATCTTTACTCATAACATTTGCGATCAGTGGTTAGTGGAGCTCATCTCTCAAGTAAGTGGAGCTCATCTCTCAAGTAAGTGGAGCTCATCTCTCAAGTCTTACTTGAGAGATGAGCTCCACATTCAAATAAGTATACTAATGTATTGATCTCTTGTTATATAAAAACTAGATAATTAGGTATAGTTGTGGAAATGTTTATTTATTCGCTTGTTTTTAATATATGTACACACATATATATATATATATATATATATATATATATATATATATATATATCTTTAATACTATTAAATAAACAAATGAGCAATAACAACAATATCAAAATAAATTTAGTTTGCTCGAAGTATAACAGGATGGGGCGAGATGCCATTTCTTTACCTTTTTAAAGTTTAAAAACCATCCCCTAACTTTTTTAGTGTTCATCATTGGGTGGGTTACCATCCAGGTGCCTAATAAACTTATAAAAGTCTCATTTACTTTTTTTTCTATCCATGAAAATGTAAAAGTAATTGCTCAGCAAAATTGCGGCTTTGAGCAAATGAAGTAATGTTTCAACTGTTATTAGCATCATACTTCAAAATTGTGTCATAAAATTCAATAATGAAATCTAAAATTATAAAATGTTTCTTTTCTTTTGTATTTCAAAACAAAAGTTACTAATAACAACCAAAATTAGAGACTTTTGTTGGCATTCTCTTTTCGTAATATATTTTTTGTGTGTGTGTGTTGAATGTAATATAGGATGCATTAGTTTTACTTGACATTAAACATTTTAAGTTATTTAGCTAATTGCAAAGATAAAAAAAAAGGAAAAATCAAAGACATTTGTCTGGTTAACAGTTTCAATAAATGGTCTTGGTTGTTCTGTTTGTAAGTCTGCAAATTTTTTAGACACCAAAAAAACCTAGGCATTAAAATTGTCTAGCAAGTGGGCGCTTGGTAAAGTCAAAGAATATGGGGAAACAAAAGAGAAAAAAAGAGTAATCAATGTGGAAAAAGCTTTCATATCATAAAACGAAAAAACTTGTAAAATTTTTTCTCAATCTAAAAATCAAACCATAGAGATGTGTTGTTCGAAAATGCAGATCAATAAGCACAAAACTACTACAGCATATTTTGCACTGTGTATCATTGCAAAAATGAATCTTAATACCTTTGTAGGTAGAAAATGGTTTAGACATTGATTGTATTTTACAATGGGATCATGCATGTGCTGATATTGTCCATCATACTTCTAATGAAATGCGTACAAAGCTTGTAAACTATTTATTACATAATGATAATTAAATTGGATTTAAGATAGATAAATCTACCATGATTAGCAAAAAATCTACTTTTTCAATCTGGTTGCGAGTGAACAATCTAGAAATAAATATCATATATAAATAGTATATTTTTTGACCTTATCGAATTAATAAACACAGAAGCCTAATCTATTGCAAACTCTTTTATAAGTGCTTTACATTGTCTAGCTTTTGACAAAATTTTATTGCATATATAGGTCTCTTTTGCTTGTGGAGGTACATTCTTATATGATTAGCAAAAAGGTATGTGTGGCTTGTTTACTTTTGAATCAGTTTAATTTTATGGCATTGTAGTAATCATCGTCTAGAGTTAGCAGTGAATAATGCTGTGTGAAATATTTTGCCAATTTGTCACATAAAAAAGCGTTTCTTTAATAGAACTAGAACATCTTTTTAAAAAGTTTTATTAATTCGATAAGGTCAAAAAATATACTATTTATATATGATATTTATTTCTAGAATGTTCACTCGCAACCAGATTGAAAAAGTAG